TTGACAGCATTTCTCACAGAATAATTTTAATCACCTTCGAGAACCATCTTTGCCTTTCGTCAGCATGGCTGATGTTAATCTCCAAGAGAGCAACACATTGCACCTTCTCGGTCTCACACTTCCGCCAGACATGGATTGGAACCATTATATTGAATGAATTGCTTGGTCTGCTTCAAAGAAAGTCGGTTCCATATCATACTTGACAACTCTTATTACCAGAATCTATTTTGCACATTTATAAGTCTATTTATTTGTCCGTGCATCGAATATTGCTACCACATCTGATCTGGTGTTTCTGTTACGTATCTAGAGATCAAAATCCAAAGAAGAATCGGCCATGTAATCGGTCCTGACCTGGTATCTTAGCTTCAGCCCTTTCCCATTCCCGTAACGTAGCTGCCCTGTGCCTTTTCTATAAATATTTTCATGGTAATTGTTTTGATGAGCTTTCCTCTATAGTACCCAGACTTTGCGAATTTAAACACACAGTCCTAGATTGGCATCACTGCCTCATAACTGTTGAAATTGTTAGAAGTAACCATAAGTTCTATGTTAATAGTTTCTTCTATTGCACTTCTTGCTTGTGGAACTCTGATCCGGCTTCTTCCTTTTCCTGTAAAATATTTAAATGCAACGTCAATCGTCATCTTCTGTCTTCTTAATTCTTGTTCTTTTATTGTCCTTTCTGTTTCATTCACTCTCAGTACCCCCACCCCCACCCCTTGGGTCATTTATTGCTTTGCTTGGGGTGAAATTATTTTTAAAAATCCTACTTCTATTGTCTAAAACTTTAGTTGACGAGTGAATAAACTCGTAACTTTATGGATGTTTTGCCTCGAGGCAATGATTAAGAAGAAGACGATTGCTACTATGTATTGCTGTCTATCTTCCTGGGGACCCAGAACACGTAACCTTTTATGTAACTTAGTTTGATAAAAAAAAAAGGAGTGTATTCAATGTTGGCTAGCATTATTATAGAAATTTGGTTAGAATAAGCTTAGTAAATATACAAATGCCTCACCATGAAGCAATGATTCACAAGTACACTATTATTACTGTGTGTTGTTGTCTATCTACGTTGAGTAAACAATACTCGTAGCCTTGTATGTAACAGTCATACTGTAAAGTGTTTAATGTTCGCCGAGCGATACTTGTTTAAAAATGTCTTAATATTACGCAGGAAATAATTATATTGAATCAATTTCTAAATCTACTGCTAGAAAAGTTGGTTCACTGTATCGTTCCAGATAACTCTTGTTATTAGAATCATTCTTGCACATTTATAAATCTACCATTCATCGCCATATCTGGTCTGCTGCTCCTACTATATATCTTGAGATTCTTAACAAAGAAGTGTCTGTAATATAATCGACCCTGACCTGGCATCTCTTCAGTCACTTTCTCACTGTCGTGACGTGTCTTCCCTCTGCCTTTTCTACAAATATTTCCAAGGCAATTGTTTTGATGAGCTTTTATCCTCAGTGCCTCGACTGCATGAATTTAAGCATTTTATTAGATCGACAACGAGGTCGCACTAATTTATTGTTGAACTAGGTAGATGCAACCCGATGTTCTATTCTAATGGTTTCTTTTTTTTCGCACTTCTCGCCTGTGGAATTCCTTTCCGATTTCTTGCTTTCCTGTTACCTACAATCTTCAAAAATTTAAATTCAATGTCAATCGCCATCTTGAATCCTGTTCCTTTATTATGCTTTACTTCACTTCTCTTCACTAAATTCTTTCATTCCCTGAAAGCCCTGCGTCCTAGTGGCATTATCGCTTTGTTTGGGGTGAAATGATTAAAAAGATCGTCAGCAAACTTGTCTTGAATATCAATAGTAGTATACATTGAATTTAATTCTAATTATATAAGTATTAGCAAATAACAGTTGTAATGAGTTTGGTCATCTCTTGATGACCCATATATTTTGGCTTGTATTAGAGTAAGCTCTCATCATCAGAGCTGTTTCGACTTAAATGAACACAGCATATCAGTACGATTTCTCATCTTCAGCACGGTTGATCATTTTCAAGTATGCCCAACTGCTCAGGCTTGTTTGTGTTTCTTCATCACCCACAGAGTCAACTTATGGTTCGTACTGCAACTATACTGAGAAGACCTTAGTTACAGTTCAAGAATGTGTCCCTATCAGGGTTTGGAATCCAGAGTTGTCCGTCTTCTATACTGGTCGCCAACAATGGCTACAGAGTTCAGTCTGACTTACTATTTAACCCATAGCTAGGAGGAGATACATTCACATCTTTTGCAAGGGTATTTAATTTGTGTGAAAGTGAATGTAATGATATCAGCCGGAATTTGAAGTCGGAATTTTAATTTCTAGTTTCAAGCCTCTATCCATTTGCCCATCCAAACCAAGTTTATTAAATATTATATAACTCATGAAAATTTGTGTGAAAAGAAAATATATCCTCTGCTCTCCACCCCCCGCTATCTAAAGCAAAGACATTCCCAACCAATGAGGTGTTTGAATGAGAGTATTTTCATAAGCCTTGCTTCTGTACCTGACTGCAACGACATAATATCTGGTTCAGGGTAATAAGAAAGGAATGTAATGAAAAAAAAAACTTGAAAAAGGACTTCTTTTCAAGATTATTTTTAAACCATCAGAAGAATGAAATTTGAAAGCTGAGACACTTTTAAAAGGTAGTTACTTGATTCGGTCGGTAAAACACGTGAGGCGGTTAAATCACTGTTCATTACGATTCTATTTGTGACTAGGTAATCAGGTGAGAATAATTAATTTTCGTAGTAAGTTTAGAAAAAAAAAGACGCTGAATTTTGAGATAACCTGTGATACGCAATGAACTTCGGGACAAAACACACAAACTTAAAAAAAATAATTTTGAACTTGTTTAACTGAAGCAAACACGTAACCGGACTAAATTTCTCTCAGTAATACATTGTCAACCGACTCTCTTCAATTATAATTTTACAAGGCTGTATCACAAACGACATTCATTCAGCAACCCTTTCCATTCAACAAACGGTTACTTTTTTTTAACTTATCAACCCTCGAAGGCTCAACAAAATTTGACCACACCTTGTGAACCTCGTGGTTACTTTATACCCTCTGCCAATGACTTTTATGGCTTCAGGTACTACTGTAAGTTTCCACTTTCTTACGAACATTTTTCTCTCCCTAGCTTAATTTCTTTTAGAGCACAAAAAATATTTTGATCAATCTCTACACACTTCTTCTTTTTAAATTAATAAATGTAAATTAATAATTTAATTCTGTCCCACTTTCATACTAAGAGTCTTATATTATCTGGAATTGAAATGAAAGCAGTGAAACACATAACCTAAATCTATCCTAAAAATTCAGGATGTAGAATTAATAAACTTTAAACACTTCAAATACCTCGGTGTATGAATCAGTTAGAACAAATTTAGTATAGGAGATGAGGAAATTGAACCTAGAAGAGGCTGCACTAGGGGTAGTTTTGTTCACTACCGCAAAATGCTAAAAAACCCAGGCATTGACCTAAGAACTTTAGTCATGTTCTTAAATAGCCTTGTCAGATCAAGACTTTCATATGGATGTCATGCATGACTCCTTAAAAATATATAAACTGTCAGCTGCATACAACTGCTTTCTTGGGTCAATGATTAAAAATGGCTTAGAACGAGTGAAGCCTATAGGTCTTAGCGAGGATCATCCTTCTTCGAACCCCGTGAACTGGCGCTACACAATCACAAACAAAGAACTGCACCACTTAACAGAAACTAGATCACTTGAGGACTTTCAATAGCAGCAACAACTAAAATGAATAGAACTTAAAGACATAAAAATGTTGATATTCCATACTACTTCAAACAAAAGGTTAGGGAGGAAACCTCCATCAATACTGGAAAAAACGATGGCAGCTAGAATGATACACCTATTCTCCTGAAAAATTAAATTTTAACTGATGGTAGAGTGGCTGCTCGGTCAATGAATATTGAATGTTTCTTTATAAGGAAACGGTTAATATTACCATTATCATTAAGGAGCTGTTTATTGATAACTAGCAGTAGAGCCCGGGGATGTAACAGTAAGAGATAGATCAAGTATCGACAATCATAAAGACTGAAAAATAAAAAAGATTATTGTTTAAGCTTGACGGACACGCATGTCTTAATTAGTTTTTTTTTACAAATTGGTCAAACCCAAACTCAAACAAAAACCTTGTTTTCAATCGTTATGAGTCTACCGATTGAATAGAATTTTATTATAAACAATTGTCTTGTAAATGGAATTTTTAAAGCATTTTGAATGTAAAAATAAAGAAAAAAGTGTGCAAGACAATAAGAAATATTTTTATTATAAACAATTGTCTTGTAAATGGAATTTTTAAAGCATTTTGAATGTAAAAATAAAGAGAAAGGTGTGCAAGACAATAAGAAACACTATCTGCCAAAAAAAAGTGAAGTTTTTTTTTTTAAATCGGTTGATATAAACGAACACACACACAAACTGGGTTTTATAATAAGTATAACTCGATATGAGTTGTCCCCCTTTCATGCCTCTTAATCGTGTTTTCAAATTGATTTCGTGCAAAAACAATTGTTTTTCCCATTTTTGGCGCTGTCAGAACCACCGCAATGTAATTTTACGTAGTCCTGTGAAGTTTTGTTGAAATCGGTTGAAAATGTATGAAATCCGATCCAATATATAAACGAACAGACACACACACATACACACAATCTGGGTTTTATAATAAGTATGATATAGGATATATAGGAAAATGCCTATAAACTAGTGTGATGAATCTGGTCTTCATTGTGTACCCGACACTATTAACCTTGCGCCAGCCTTATCGATGGTATATTAAATTGAGATTCTTGAAATATATGTGGGCTGTAAAAAAGATGAGATTGGTAACATCTTTGAATTCAGCAAACTTAGAGTAATGGTGCGCTGAACACTTAGCCAAAAAAATAAATGGAGGTGTCAGATAACACTTGCTTTAAGTATTTTGCTAAAGTCTTTATATATCTAGATTTGAAACAGGGAGGAACAGAAAAAGGAAATATAGAGAGGAAAAGAAAGGAAAAAAGAAAGGTGAAAAGAAAAGTAGCAGAAGAAACAAAATAGTGTGAGAAATGGTGTAAAGAAAGAAAGAAAGAAAGTAAGAAAGAATAAAATGATAAAAAAAGAAGTAGATAAAGGAAAAACGAAGGAATGACAGGATGAAATTGAAATTATAAAAAGAAAGGAAGAAATAAGGAATGAAAGAGAATGAAAGATAGAAAGAAAGAATAAAAGAAACGAAAGAAAGAAAGAAAAGCGAATTACATTTGTTTTGAAGCAAGCTAATTGGGGAGGAAAAAAGTAAGAAAGTGAAAAGATGAGAACAGAAAAATAAAAAAAAAATAAATAAGGAAAGGAAAAGGGAAGATAATAGAAATATTTAGAAGTAAAAGGTGGCAATAAATGGAAGGAAGATAGGGAAAGCAGTAAACTGGCGTGATAACAAAAAAGAAAGAAACGAAAGACGAAGAAAGCACATAAGGAGTAGAGAGGAAATAAAGAAAAAGAAAAAAAAATAGAAAAAAATGAAATAAAAAAAGGAAAGGAAAGTACTTAAGTTGACTGGGAGAAGAAGAGAGAGAAAGGACCAGAAAAAAGGAAAAAGACAAAAGAAAGATAAGAGTGGGAGGGAAAAGAAAGTAAATTAGAAGAGAAGAGAAGACGCTAAAAAGGAAAAAACGAAAAGTATCATCAAGTAGAAAGAAAGAAAGAACAAAGTTAATAGTGAATTAGAGAGAAGAAAATTAGTAACATTAGAGGTTTCTAAAGGAAAAAAGAAAAGGGAATGAAACATGCTCTAGAGAACAGAATTTCTTGAAGTTGCAGACCTCCAAGAATGAAAGACATTTCAAGTAAGTTTTGCTTATTGTGCAGCGGTCATAAAGGACCAAACTTGTAACAGATGACGGAATATTTGCCAGTTCTTATGAGAGTAGGGATAAGACTTTTTTGTGCTGTCAATCAAAAAAGCATGGTTCAAGAAACTTAATTTAGAATTTTACCGACCGATAGAATGGAAAGCGGGCAAACGAGAAATTTAAAAATAAAATGGAAGAAAAAATTCTATTGAATGAAAACGGATTGAATTTCTACGGATCTATTTTCTGTTTAAAAGAATTTATGCAAAATATTAAAATTATTTGCAATATATATATTTCTAAACAATATATATATATATATATATATATATATATATATATATATATATATATATATATATATATATAGTAGTGCAAATAAATATGACACCCCATGAAATTGTCAATAATTTTTCTTATTACTGCACAAATTCCTCTGAAAATTTGTGTGTGGTACCTAGATTCATTTTTTATAACAACTTTACACCAAAAAAAGTTAAGAAAAATACGTTTTCGAGGGTGGAAATAAGCATAAGACAGTTTTGAAAATTTGTATTTAACAACAAAATTGTACAAAATTCAATATTTACATTTATTCCCTTTCTATTGTAATACTTCATCACATTTGTTTTGCATTGAATCAATAAGTTTTCTGAGAGTTTCAGATGGAATTTCATTCCAATAACTGTTTAATACAAGATTTTAAAGTTTTGAAGTTTATTTTTGTATACTCTTCTTGACAAATTTCCCCACAAATTTTCTATTGGGTTTAAATCTGGAGACGTAGTGAGCTAGTTCAAAACTTCAATATTTTTTGTTTTAAACCAGTCTTTCGTGACCTTATTAGTGTGTATGGCTGCGTTGTCCTGTTGAAAAATGGTATTATTGGTGTCTAGACGATTCATAAATGGGACAAGACTTTTTTCCAACACATTGATATATCGAGCAGAGTTTTGTTTCCCTTCCATCACTACTAAATCAGCCTTTCCAGACGCAGAAAAAGCTCCCCCAAACCATAGCAGATCCTCCTACAAATGATCTTTTTGAAAATAGGTGCTTCTCCTTTCTTAAATCGTGCCAATAACACTGGTAGTCATCGGGTCCATTCAAATGAAACTTTTTCTCATCAGAACGGTTTGCCATTTCTCCTTTGTCTATGTTACTTTTTTCTTTACCTAATCTACGCGCATCTTGTGTTTAGCAGTTAAATCAGGAACTGTCTTCCTGTTTTGATACACGAGATTTGGCGATTCATGAAGAAGTTGACAAACTCTTCTTGGAGTGATGGGTAAATCCTGAGATTTTTGCAGATCTCTTGAGCTTGATTGTCTTTAGAAGCTTCTCGAAAAAGTTGACGTCTGCCTGCATTTGTAATTTTAGGTGGACAATCTGGACATTTTCTGGTGCCATATGATTCAGGGTCCTTTAGATAATTTCTCACAACTGTTCAGGACCTCGACAGTTCTCATGCAATGAAACTTAAAGATTTTCCTTCCAGTTTATAGGCAGAAATTTACCTTTTTTCATTTTCATTACGGGGAGTTCCTAGACATTTTGCAGTAACTGTATTCAATTATGAAATATTTAAATAGGACTCACGTGGCTTAAAATCGTGATAAGAGTCTTTTTATAATCTGCGCATGCGCTTAATCTTCATTTGGCATTCTGAAGTAAACCAGATGACGTAATGAATATGCATACACCTGTGTTCCCCCTCACAGGAATATGATTGGCTGGTGTCAGCCATAAATACAGGCTGATGTGAAGGTATAGGGACGACGCCCATTGGACTACGCCATTGGCTATCCTATTGGTCTCCGCCTATTTCCTACACCTATTGACTACGACTACGACGAGTACCAGTCGATTACGGCTACCTGCTAGATTATGCAATAGCCAAAACCACTTAGCTACCTCGAACAAATATATCCTTTTCCGGGGCATATCACCAGATATGAAAATTTTCAAAACTGTCGTATAATTATTTCCATCCTCGAAAACGTATTTTTCTTAATAACTTTTTTTTTTTTTGGTGGAAAGTTGTTATAAAATCGAATATGTATACTAATACCCATCAGATCTAGGTACCACACACAAATTTTAAAAAGGAATTTGTGCAGTAATAAGAAAATTATTAACAATTTCATAGTATTTTATAACTATTTCCACCACTGTATATATTAGTGGACCAAAAGTAGACTTACACTTAGTATGCACTTTAGATTTTTTTTAAACATTTTATAACATTTATATTTATTTGTAACAATCATATTTCAAAAGTGTTTAACACTTTACTTACATTTTTAGTACAGTTTAATCTCTTAAGTGCTCAAAATGTCCTCCTTCAACGTTTTCGGAATTCCTTGAACCTATTGAGAGCACCATGACACATTGCACGACACAAATTCCAATCTGTGTCACTTTCAATAAATGCTTCTGAGATATACTCTTTTAATTCGTACACTGTGTGTGGGATTTCTCTCATAAACCTTGCTCTTTATTACATCCCCCCAAAAACGAATCCATTGGTGTTAGGCCAGGTGTAAGTGGTGGCCATTCGATGCTGTCTCTTCTTCTGAACCAACGCGGCGTAAAAGTTTGGTTAAGGTAGTCCCTTACTAGCAAAGCATAATGAGGAGGTGCTTCATGATTTGGATAAATTAGATCTAAAAAGTGAAACAAATCAGTTATCTGCCATGCGCGATACACACTAAGGCGATCATGTATCTGTCGGTATATGACTGACAAGGAAGATTTTTCCCGCAGTAGGTTGCCGTTTCTTTCTGCAGTAGATCAGTTGTCATCCAAGGCTATAGAACCCAATCTGTCTTGCTATTTACGCACAGCTGGGGGATAGAAGATGATTCATACCTTTCCAAAGGGTCTTAGCACGTAAGTGAATGTAATGGATTCGACTGGAATTCGAACTCTGCTCTCTGATTTCTCAATCCGAGCCGCTATCCATTACTATAGTAAGCCTATTTTCGGTCCACCATATATATATATATATATATATATATATATATATATATATATATATATATATATATATATATATATATTCGATTCGAAAATTATAACATAAATATGTTATAAAATCACTAAAAAACAGCCAGTTTGTTTCAACACTTCTGGTGTTTTATCAAGTGATGGTGTTGAATGTAGAATAAAGGTTATATATATATATATATCCATTTATATCTATGTATATTTATGCATATATATATATATATATATATATATATATATATATATATATATATGGAGAGAGAGAGGGGGGAGAGGAGAGACACAGAGAGATTTAACAAAATTTTGCAGAAGTGAAAATAGACGATAAAAGGAGAAAATATTAAGATAATTTTTCGTTCGTCAAAAATTGACTTTTACCTACAAAAGAACAGTAAAAATCTGACACTTATTTTGTTTGCAGAAGTAAAGCGACCGTTATAGATAATCTCAAAAGGAAAAGAAATGGACAAATTTTTTTATTTTATATTATTATTTGTGTTTTTTAACCTCATCCACATGTAAAAATAAGATTAAAAATAATGGAAGCCTTGATAATAAAAAAGAAAAAGCGAACACGGCCACAGTGTGCTGACTGTGTTCGGAGAGTAGGACGTCTGTTTAGCATTAAAAACATACACGCAGCGCACACACCCAATTAGGAGTCATCATTAATAATGGCTGAAGCTGTGACCGAAAGCGCTCGGAGTTGTGGAACATTTAAACAGTTTCCACACACTCTGTGTCCAAAAAAAGAAAACACTTGTTCGAACACAAGAAAAATTAAATAATAAGCTTAATCGTATAATTGTATATCATTTGTAATGAAACATGCATAAATGAAAGATTGTTGCCTAAATACACAATTACACACACACACACACACAAACGCGCACACACACACACACACACACACATATATATATATATATATATGTATATAATTCAAAATATGAAAGAAAAAATAAGAAACTTTATATATTACGATGATTTTAAATAATATTTACTGTATTTATCTCCCTTGGTTTTTACCATAAAAAAACTTAAATACATATGGCCATGTTTTTTTTTTCATTATATAATTTTAATTTGATATTTATTCGAACATTTTAATATAAAATAATTTAACATCTGTTTATATTTCTGAGATGAGGTATTGTAATTATTTACATTGTTTGGATTGTTCCCCTCATCTTTATTGCCGTAGAGTAAAGAAGAACCCGAAAATGAAAACAGATGGAAAACTGTCGCAGATCCTAATCAAAAGCAGGGGTCAATTCCCACATAAAACAACCAGGCAATTGTCACAAAGTTATAGCAAGCTACCTCACATATATGGTGTCCCCAAAATCCATAAAGACTGCATTCCTTTCAGGCCAATTATTAGCTGCTAAGCCTCTGTGTGCCACCCTCTGAACCGCTTCCTTGTGGATATAGTTGACCCATTAATAGGAAAGTGACCATCACATGTCCGAAATTCAGCCCACTTCGTGGAAATAATAAAAATGCTTACATCCAATCCAACCAGTTTGTGAGACTGGACGTGGTGAGTTTGTTCACCAAGCTACCCACGGAGGAGGCACTATTAGTAGTCAGGAACAGACTGGCCTTGGACTCATCCCTCCCTAGGAGATCGGACCAGTATACCAACAGAAATCCTGATGGAGATGCTGACTTTCTGTACACAAAGAACACACTACGGAATAGAATTAGACATGTATCGGCAAGATGAAGGTTTAGCAATGAACTTGATGTCATCAACAGCAATGGCTAAAATGTACATTAAATACTTCGAGGAAATGTCATTAGAATCAACATCATTAAAGCATCATTATTGCTAAGATACGTAGATGACACCTTCATACTCTGACCACACCAGGAAGAGGTCCAGCTGGACCATGTAAACTCGGTAAAATCGTCAATACACTTC